CCCTTCCCTTCCCTTCCCTTCCCTTCCCTTCCCTTCCCTTCCCCTGTGCGAAAGGGAAGCGTACAACTCTGCAGGGAGAGGGACACTGTCCCCTCCCCTTCACCCCAAAATGGGGTCCCCCGGTGCTCAGCTACCCTCAAAGTGGACTTAGCGGTGCCTCATCAAACTGAGCCAAAAATCAAGAGTGAGATTTGTCCCCGGGAGAATCCTGCTGGACACTGGACCCTGGCCACCTCAGCTGGCCATGGCAGAGAGCGGGTGGCAAGTGGGGTCCCCCCGGTTACCCAAACCGGGGTGCAGGCACCCACTCAAAGTGTCCTTAAAACAACAATATATAAATCCGTTTGAAAGATACACATCCATAGAAAACGTATACATCCATATAAACCATAAACATCCATAGAAAACATATACACCCATAGAAAACATACACGTCATTATAAAACAAAAACATCCATAGAAAACATACACATCCCTATAAACCATATACATCCATATAAAACATACACATCCATAGAAAACATATACATCCATATAAACCATATACATCCGTAGAAAATATATTCCTCCCTATAAACCATATACATCCACAGAAAACACACTCATCCGTATAAACCATACACATCATTATAAAACATACACACCTATAGAAAACATATACATCCATAGAAAACATACACATCCATAGAAAACATATTTGTCCATATAAACCATACACGTCATTGTAAAACACACACATGCGTAGAAAACATAGACATCTATAGAAAACATATACATCCATATAAACCATATACACCCATAGAAAATATATTCATCCCTATAAACCATATACATCCATAGAAAACATATACATCCACAGAAAACGTACTCATCCATATGAACCATACACGTCATTATAAAACATACACATCTATAGAAAACATATACATCCATATAAACCATATACACCCATAGAAAATATATTCATCCCTATAAACCATATGCATCCATAGAAAACATATTCATCCATATGAACCATACACCTCATTATAAAACATACACATCTGTAGAAAACATATACATCCATATAAACCATATACATCCATAGAAAACATATAAATCCATATAAACCATATACATCCACAGGAAATATATACATCCATATAAACCACAGGAGCTCTGGCAGTAAAACACCCCGAACCCCCTCTTTCCCTCAAAAGCAGGGAGCAGGGAAGGGGTTCGCCCAAGGACACCGGGGATGCTGGGGCAGTTGGGCGCTGCGGGAGGGGAGGGGGGTGAGAGCCAGGGGAAAGCACCAACCACCCCCGGGGAAATAATATTTGGGATGTGTGACTGCTCTGTGAAAAATGCCTCAACAGGATTAGAGGCTTTCCTGGCAATTTCTCCCCGAAAATAGTCCTTGAGCGTCTGCGTTTGGCTGGGAGAGCTCCCAGGGATGCGGGGGAGGACGGGAGAGCTCCCAGGGATGCGGGGGGTCTCCGGGGGGAATTTCGAGCTACACACAGGGAGGGGAGCTGCAACCTCCGCCTGCCCTTCTCCTGCTCCGAAAAATCCGGGGGGGATCTGCATGGTTGAGCCCCCCCCCCAACCCCCTGACCCCAGGGGAACTGGGTTTGGATGAAAGCATCACCCGAATCCAACCGCATGGGGAACGCTGAGAGCCCCTCGCCCCTGTTTTTGGGGAAAACCAGGCAGGATGCTGCATGTGCCTGGCGTGGGAGCACATCCCTGCTGCCAGGGCTGCCCTTCAGCCAAATTTAGAGCCCGAAAAGTGGGGCCAAATCCATCCTCTGGCACCTCAGGGGGATGGAGCTTTGGAAAGGATGCTCCCGGTGCTCCCCTGCCGCCCGGGGAGCGCTTTGCTGGTGCAATCCAGCAAGAAATGGTCCTGTCTGGGGGCTTTGTGCCCTTTTCTCACCTTCCTGTCACCGCAGCAGCGAGGGGACAAGGTGGCACCCACACACCCCGGGGTGTTTATGGCCACGGGAGGAGCAGGAGGGTGGGTGGGGAGAGAAGGAGCCCGTGTTTGCTAAATATGGGGGGGCAGGATTGCCAACGGCCACCCGGGGGGAAGCCTTTCCCAGCTGATTGCCCTCCCTGGGCCTTGGCCTCTTCTTCCCCATGAGGGGGAGAGCGTGTTGGTGGCTTTGGGGGGGGGACACTGTTTTGATGGGGTCACGTCCCACTGGGTTCCCCGGGAGGGTGCCCGGGGCAGGACGTGGCTCCCCTTCGTTGTCTCATATGGAGTGTAGGAGCCTCGTAGAGCCCCCCCCCCGAA